TTAACTGCATATTGTGAATACTCAGAAGAAGTTAAAATATAACCAATCTTCTCCCTCTCAAGCTATTTCTGTAAATTAATTTCTACCCAAAAAGCTAGAGCACTGACAGAGCCTTGTTTGCAGAGGAGAAAAAAAGAGACATAGTCTTCATCCTTTTCGAGGGGCAGCCAGCCTAGAGACATGAATACACACTACCAAAATTCAGAGCTCTCCCACATGACTGACCATATGATTTTAAGCAAATTACTTTTTGTTTTAGTTTTTCCACCTATGAAATGAGGAAAATAGTACTGATCCTCATTGCAGATACAGCAGTTATAACCATAAAGCCCTTAGAACAGTGCCCCAATAAGATCAACCATTGGAGAGCACAGAAAGGACTCCACAAAATTAACTGACATAAAATCAATATTTGTTATAATTTTTTTAAGACCATGCTTCATTCCTTGCCTCCAGCACACAAACAGAAAAGCAGAGAGACAAACCCGTAGCCCAGCTGAGAAGACACCCAAACACCAGATTAGAAGTGGCTTCTAGGCACAGAGCCACAGGCACACAGGTCATAGTTCTCTAGGCCAGCGTGCAGGGAGTCAGCATGGTGGGCAATCATCTCCCTACTAGGGAAACGGTCCCAGCAGTGGTCCTTCGGGGTCAAGGGAGGACGTACAGCCTTGACAGAGTGTATAAATCTGTCAAGAAAATATTCTGGGCAAGGAAACAGAAAAAGACAGATCTGGACATCAGCATGATGAACTGTCTTCAAGGATCTTCCTGACAGATGCATTCAAAGCAATCTGGGTGTGGTTTGCCTCACCTGAGCAATGCGTTGTGCTTCAGAATCTCACAGCTAGGTAAGAGCAAAGGAAAAGGATGGCAAATCTGAGCAGAGAGAGGAGCATGTTCAAGAACTGTTGGGGAGTTTGAACAGGACTCTAACAGCCTGGGCAGGGGACTGAGGAGGGGAGTGAGGCAGGAGCCAAGGTATTGGGTAGGGAAGTAAAAATGGGCAACTCTGGGCTGAACCTGACAGAGGCTGGAGGAAACGGGTGAGCAGCAGGCACTGCTAGCACCACACAAAGCCAGGGGTGCAAACCCCAGGGCCGTAATGGGAGATGAGAGAACATCACTCTTCCCAGACGTGTCTTCTTTTGGTCCCCATCTTTTCAAAAAAGTAAGACCAGTCATCTCCTTGGTTGGGGGCGAAGAAGAGAGAGGGCTTTTTGAAGTTCTGAGGGTGAAGAGAGGCCCCGGACAGTTGAGGATCTTTCTAGAAAGATCCACCCTCGTGCCTCTTCTACCTCCCAGAAGCCTGGGATCTTGTTGCCGTCACTCTACAACGGTAGCGCCCTCCTAACGGCACCGCATGCCACCGCGAGGGTCGGTGTGACTTCCCTTTCCTGCCACTGCACTTTCAACTTTTTTCTGAGGCAGCACGCGGCTCACTCCCTGCGCACGTGCCCTTTACACGTGCGACACCCCTATTCCCGCCTCCACCACGTTCACATCTAGAACACCCGCGAGGCAGCACTGGCCCTAACGGTCAGGGAAGAGCTACGCTTGCCGTAGCGCAAAAAAAGGCGGGAAAGTCTCTGATTGGCTGAGAGTTTGCGCGCCGCCAATTCTCCTGGCCTCTCCTCCCTCTGACAGCTGCACAGGCTTCTTTTCAGGCACCTTTCGCCAGAGGGGATGAGGGCCCCACGACGGCTCTCGGTGTGGCTCTGGTTCACTGCCATCCTGCCCAGGCCCCCTCCTGCCGCCCCGCAGATGGGAAGGGGCGGGGCCTGCGCCAAGCGGTTGGGTGGGGTTCTGAAGGGGAGGCGGAGATTGTGGCGCAAGGACCCGGAGTGAGTGAACGGCTGGTCACGTGAGGGGCCTCCGTCAGAGGACCCCACAGAGTCAAGGTTGAGACAGAAAAAGTGGGAAAGCGGGCGGGTCCAGGGGGTTGGCTCCGCCCCCAGAGCGCTGAGGAGTAAGGGATGAGGCGGTGATCGCCACAGCCAGCCGCAGTCTTGGCCGCTGTTTTGTCACCCCTGCCTAGCAGCCCCGCTGCCCACGAGTATGGACTTGAATTGGTCCTGTCAGGAATCAAAATTAAAAGCGGAATTTTCCTATGCCCTTCCTGACCCAGGTCAGAAAACTGTTGCCCTTTGGAGAAAGAGTTTGAAATGATTCCTCACTTCTCCTGAGAGGAGCAGAACTCTCTTCCCCCAGGTAAAGACTGAAATCAGAGCCGATTTTTTGTGAGGCAGCGTCCAGGAAATGGTGCAAGAGCTGGTTGAGGAAATCCAAGGGGTGATTTCGACCCTGACTGAGTCCGTTCCAGCTCCAAGATGGAGAGAGCCTTTGTCTCTGTATCTCCCATCATACCTGCCCTGCCTCCTCCAAAGGGTGATTGTGAGGATCAGGTGATATATTTTATCAGAGTTGCTTTTAAGACTAAAATGTGTGTTTGCTTATTTCCTTGAACTTCACCAATAGCACCAGAGGTCTTCCAACAAAAGGATGTTAACATCTGGATTACCTACCATATATTTCATCAAATTTAAGATGTTGTCAGTTATAAAATAGGGGCTTCCCAGGTGGCTCAGAGGTAAAGACTGCCTGCCAGGCAGGAGACACTGGTTTGATCCCTCGATCAGGAAGATCCCCTAGAGAAGGAAATGGCAACCCACTTGAGTGTTCTTGCCTGGGAAATCCCCTGGACCAAGGAGCCTGGTGGACTACAGTCCATGGGGTTGTGAAGAGTCAGATACAACTTAGCAACTAAACAACAGTTATAATATGCACCATTTTAAAGTGTAACTCTAAGGGGGAAAAGCTGCTAAATCAACTGACATCTGTTGTAAGATGTATCCTGATTTCAGAAATATATATGTGTATACATATATTTTTAAGTATGACTACCATAGGAATGGTGTGAAGCAGTGGAACAAACATCACGCATTGCTCTCTAGGTCCTGTCCTGCACTGTTAACCAAGTATATAACCTTGGGCAAGATGATCATGCTTCTTAGACTTGTTTCCATATCTGTTTGAAGAAAGAACTAGAAGAACTCTTAGGTTTCTTTCAGCTGTAATATTTTATGTTTGCCAAACTGTCTCTCAAATCTCACTTTTCTCCATCTCCTTGAGGCTCCAATTCCGGCCTTCATCATTTAACTTGAATGACTGCCAAGAGCCTACTGACCTCGCTTCCTCTAGTCTTGACCCCCACCATTCATTTATGCCTTAAGATCATCGTACAGAACGTTGAGGACCCAAACACAATTGCATATGGTTGTCACATTCAGAGAAATAATGTGCAGTTAGAGTTGTGCTATTTGCTGGCTATAGTAGAGAGTGTAAACATCATAGAGAAGGACTGATTTAAGTTCAAAAAAGACAAGAGAAAAGCTAGTTTAAATTCTTAACTCTTAAAAAGTCTTCAGTGCAAAATAGGCAGGTTTCTAGCAAGATGGATCCACTCCTCTCACAGCTTTGGTTTTATACCTTTATATCACATCCCTCAAGGTCGTGTGAAAGATCTGCAACTCATTTTGGATACAAAACTCCAGGGAATAATGCCTGGCGACCAACTTCTTGCCAACTGAAGATGAACAAAATTTTTCCATCTCTAATTTCTGTGTCTGCTTCTTACCAACATGGTCCTGTCTCACCCTCCACATGAGTGAGATGATGTAATAGCTAATTTGGCCAAGGATGAGGAGCACAAATAAAACACAGTTCAGACAGTTATTGTTTAAAGAGCAATGTTTAGTTGTACAACACATAAAGTCTAGCAACATTTACACAACCAGTTTGAGTGTCTGTTGGCTTACTTTCAATTGGGAAAATTAACTGTAATGTCACCAAAAGGTTGGCTGGGACTGGTAACATTTAAGAAATGGGTCGTTCTTGCATCCCCTAGGCTTGGGCCTCTTGCTCCATCAGGACCTGGTTGTAGATGAATGGCCCACAAGTCACCAGCCTTTGAGCAAGTTGTGTCCAGGTGGAAGTGGTTGGGCAGTGGGCAAGGGGTAGTCCATAAAGACACAGTGCAGGGGTGGGCAGTGGCAGCCGACATTCGCAAACATTCATGCATCTGATGGGAGGGCTTTGCCCTCCACTGGGGATTTTCCACTAGCCTACAGTAACCGACTGTGGCCAGGCTAATTCATTACTCACATTAATGGAGTAGGGGAGGGGCGGGGTGTAGGAGTAGCAAGGGTAGGTGGGAAAAGATTCCCTCTTATTGCTAAGTGGACAGAAGGGTGCTTTTTTCCTTCCTAGAGTTCACATTTCGTGAGCTTCTGGAATTCGGTATGTGTGTTTAGTTCTTATTTAAAATCTAAGGATAAGGAAGTCAACTCCAGGAATGTCTCTTCAGGAAAACCACCATTCCTAAATGGCTGCTATATGGGGTAGGGAGGGTGTGTGGCTGTACTCTGGGCCAGTCACCAGCAGTCATTTTTTTTAAAAAAGTGATCCTAGCCCTTGCTCCCCCACATCTGGAGTGACCCATCCTTACAAATAAGCTTTAAGCAATGAAGGAGACACCCTTGTCCCACGTTGGGGCTCACACAGCTGACGTCAACAAATCCGACAAGCAGAAAAGTTGCTTTCTTGACCCTTTAAGGAAGTCAAGAGCAGCTCATGCAGATGAATGGACAGGGAGCAACGCCATATCCCTTGGAGATGGTTACAAGTAGCTGATATGGGTTTGCAAGGGCAGAAGAAGCTCTTGGTGAGTTCTTTCACCCTATGGATGGGCTAGGACCGGCTGACACAGACGATGGAGGAGGGCAATGCTGGCAGGAACTCCATTCCAACTGGGAGGAGAGGGGTGGTGTGGATAAATGGAAGCAGCAACTGTCCTAAAGAGGCAGCTGGCCCCTCCCATCTGCTGAGGGCTGAGAGGGGCTGTGGTGGTGGGCCCAACACGCACAGCACTAAAGAGCGCATGGCCCTGCAGCAAGAAGAGCGGAGAGGAATGGAGGGAGGAGCGGCGCTTGGAATGGCCTTCATTCGGCAGTGGGGCAGGGGGTGGCTGGCACGGGTGGAAGGACAGTGCCCAGGAGGCCTTCTCCCTGCAGGGGGGTTGAGAACGGTTGAGGGTGTGGAGACCGGCAGCTGACAGCAGACATACAGAACAGCTTCTCCAGGGAGGCTGAGATCATGGTTTAGGAGCACCAAGCATTATTCTCCTATTCTCTTCCTCAGTCTCACCAGTGCCCCCTGACTCCCACCCCAGATCTTCCCTGTGAGGTCAAGGTGTCTAGTCCCACGTCTTCATACAAGCCAGGGGTCCCTCTTCTGTTGAAACTTAGCAACCTCTGGACTCTAACTCTGCGCTGTTCTGCTCTGACTGGTGCCTAACCTGCAGTAACTGTGTGGGTGAGGGAAGATGGGGGTTGGACTGGTAATGAGTTTCCAGGAAAGATTGGAGACCGTGAGTTTGGGGCCACTAGCAATCTGATCACCCACCTCTTTCTCCTGGTCTGCTGAATCTTGGTCTTAAGTCTATATGTTTTCCTAGCACCTGAGTGATAAGGGCCTATAAATGCTGGGATTTGTAGAGGACCAGTAAAACACCTCGGGTTGGACCAGGAGATGAAACAGGAGGTTGTAAGAGGTTACTGTAAACTGTGTCAATTTTCCCCTTGCCTGAGGCTAAATTGTTTCTCCAGCTTGAAATTTTAGCCACCTTACAGACTAAAGGAGAAAGAGTAACTTGTGTGTCAAACAACATGGAAAATATATGCATTAATAAATATGGGGCTGAAGGGGAAGGCAAGAAAAGGCTACATGTAGGCTTGTGAGTGTCATTGGGCATGTCTAAAGGGGTGAGGAAGAGGAAGTGCAGAAAGCTGAGAAAGACAGACAAAAATGCAAGTAGCTTCAACACGAGAAAGAGAATAGAAGAGAAGGAAAGGGAGGTCAAGTATATACAAGAAGGAGGAGAACAGAAGCCAGCTTTAAGGAGGAAGAATCCTAATGGACAGAAGGGAGATGAGGTTCAAAACTGTCTCTGAAGCCAAACGACCAAGAAAGACAAACACTGTATATTGTTCTTGATACTTCTTTAGACTCAGTTCTGCTAGGACCTAACACCTAGAAAAAAGGTTGTCTCACTTGACCAGCACATGTGTTTCTTTAACCAGAGAGTGGGAACCACATAGCTCACTGTGTCTGCTCCTTCGCTGGGCTGCCTACAGCCCAGGGCCCTTTTCATCAACTGCAGAAACTCTGTCTCCCATGCTTTCCTGCAGATCTGATTTCCCTTGTAATCTCCTTTTTTACTGTCCTGTGATTTTACTGGGGATGTTAAGTGGCCTAAAGTCACTTTTGGAGTAAACTTGACATAAATCCTAAATATAGAAGTGCAGCTCAAGTAGATTAGGCTAAAAGGAAATGAAAGTCAGAGGGGGCAGGACAAAGGAAGGAGGGAAAGGGGAGAAAGAGAGAAGGTGGGAGCAGAGGAGAGTGAGGCGGGGGACGGGGGGCGGGATATGTGGAAAGCAGCAGTCTGCGACAGAGACAGGTGGTAGCTTCTGGACAGTGAATGCCACACAGACTGAAGGGTGGAGCTCTCTCCTCCACATGTAGGCACTAATTCTGCAGGAGCCCAGCGCTGGCCAACTTCTCTGCTCTCTACTGATCTTTCTTTTCCCAAGAAGTCCTAGCCTCACCACAGATCACCGGGCTTACAGAGAGGGTTAAGTCCTCAACTCTGCCACCGCCCGCTCCCCCCGCCCCCCAATCCCAGGTCAAGCTCCACAATTCTCCGTCTTTGGAGAATCTCTGTGGTCCCTGCTCACAGGTGGGTTCAGAGATAAGAAAGCGTTACCTGAGGCTCACCTGCTCCCATCATTTTTAAATGAAGCCTCCCCCAGACCTCTTGAGTGAGGCACACGCCTTGTTCTGGGACACAAGGAAAGGAGACAGATAATGGACAGCCATGGAGGAACCAAACTTACTAGGAACTTTCCAGGGAGGCAGTATAAATACCTCAGCCCTGCACGGGTGCACACACATACACACACATGAGCGTGCACACACACACACTCATCTCTCGCACACACACAACACACACACACACTGTAGACAAGATGCTCCACAATTACCAGACAGGCCTGTGGGACAGAGTAGAAAGGAAGAAGGTGGTGGGTGGTAGTCTGAGGATGTGTGTGTGTGGAGAAGTGGGTATGTGTGATGATACAGAGAAAGGGTCGTCATGGGTTACTGTCGTGGCTTTCCTCTGTGTCCACGCTCACCGGAGGGAGGCCTCCATTGTCATTAAGACGCTTGGCCCTGTAGGTCTCGTAGTGGATGTTGTGTGTTACTTCCTTGAGGTCCTGGAGGTGGGTCCTGAAGGACACAGGGCAAGAGAAAGAGGGATGAGATTAGGGGCAGGAGGAGGGAGAGGACCCACGTCTGAGGTCAACACGTCGTTTCCAGGGTCTGGACCCAATGACTGGGACCAAAGAGCCAATGACACCTCTTGAGCCCCTTGTCCTTCAAGATGAGAGCTGGGACTGCAGCAGAAGCTCTGTCAGAGAGACCTGGGGACCGAGGAAGTGGATCTAAACAAGTGGCCTCTGGATCCCAAATAATTAAACTTGCCATTGGATGGGAGGGGTGTGTCTTACCTGATGACAAAGTCTCGAAGCAGGGCAAACTCACAGTGGTTGAGGTTTTCCACTGTGAACAAACAAACAAAAACAGGTGGTCACTTCACTAATGCAGATACCAGCAGGTGAATTTCTGTTCAAGTCATGGACTGAGCCATGGGCCGGGCCACTGTCACCTTCCAGAGGTGTGCTCATCTTGGCACTTGAGTGCACTGGAGTTTACTCATTGAACAAGGATTCATGAAGCAGCGACAAGGGCACAATACTATTCTAGACTCTGTGGAATAATATCTTATATGTAGTATTATATTCCCCATTTTATAGGAAAAGAAACTAACACACAGGGAGTCTAAGAAACTTGCCTAAGGCCGAAGACACAATTTCTATCTTTCAGGAGCTTGTAATCTGATTGGAACACAATAAACACACAGACAGAATAATCGAGCCATCTTAAAAAGGTCATGATGGCTTGATAAATCTAATTCAACATAGATCGAGTGCCTACTAACTGCAAATCACTTGACAAAGACGATGGAAACCGAAGAGAATTAAGTCATGAGCCCTCTTTCTCATAATCTATGGGTAGGACAGATATTCTTATAATTTCATTCAATGCAAATGATGAGAAAAAGGCTATTTTTAAAAAATCCCAACAAAGGATAGAAAAATGAGAGACAACATGATATAATGGGAAGAACTTGGTTTTGAAATCAAAATATCCAGGTCTAAAATCCAGGTTTCACCACTAATAAGTCACATGATCTTGGGCAGGACACTTAATCTGATACCCAAGTGCCTCAGGCAGGATGATCTGAGAACAGTCATGCCTACCCTGCCCCCCTCCAAGGGTATCACGATGAATTCATCACTGAAGTGATTCTCTGAGAGCTCTCAGAATCACTGTGACCTTCTGAAGGTCACATCGTTCCTAATAAAATGAAAATGGAAACATCTGAACAACCCTTCCGCAGCTTTTCAGATCATGCCTCCTTTCATGTGAAAACCTTTCTCTGGTTTTTCTGATCCTTATTAATCTCTCCATGTTCTGAGCTCCTTTGACCCTCGAGCTAGTGCCTCCCGGTCAGGTGCTAAATCCATCTTTTATTGCTTCCTGCTCATGAGTCTCAGCTTCTCAATTAGACTGTAAGCCCCTGACGGCAGGGTCTGGCTGGCATTCATTTTATATCTTGCATCCTAGGACTGTGCCTTGACCTACAGATGCTTAATTAATAAGCATAATTGACTGGCAACCAGTTCTTCAAGAAGATGCATTGAATTACCTTCAATGATGCCCCAGGGAGTTTTTCTGCCGAGGACCCGCTTGCCATTCACTTGGTACTCCTTGTCACTTCCCACCACAGCGAAAGGCATGCTCTCCTGCTGACAAAGCAGACACATACGCATGTCATCCTTCTACTCTTTGCGCCTCCAAGGGTAGGATGGCATACAGTCCTGGGTCTCTAACCTTGAACTGCACATTTCTGAAGTTCATTCAGTGATCCCACTGATGGCAGAGGCCAGGCTCTTGTCTCTGAAAAAGAGCACTGGACTGGGAGTCTGAAGTCCTGGGATCCAGACCTGATTACTCCCCTGCCTGGCTGGTTAACCTCAGTAAGTCAGCTTTCCCACAACTGGAGAATGCTTTGTACTCTTTCGCACTTTTAAGAGGTTTGGTTTGATTTGGAACAACTTTGTGAGCTAGCCAAGAAAGACAGACCTCTTAGACAACACCCACCCAGTGGACAACCAAAGTAATGAGTTTTACATGGTCTCCCACACTGGCAGAGGCCCATACCTGCTGCCCTGCCAGAGTTCCAAGGCCACTTTCTGATGTACCTAGGCTTCTCTACGCCAGCAGGTGTCTGTTCCCAAGTTGATCTGCTTGGTGTGTGCTGTTATTGCATCTGGATACATTAACTGTTTTATAAGCTGAGGACATATCAGTGTGGAGATCTGTTTCTTTGAAAATGGAATGTTTCAGAAAGACTTGATAAAGCTGAGTTCCTTTTGCATTGAGTGGATTTAGCAAGACTTCCCTACTGGTCCAGCGGTTAAGAATCTGCCTCCCAACGCAAGGGACGTGAGTTTGATCCCTGGTCAGGGAACTAAGATGCCACAGGGCCCAAGCGCCTCAGCTAGAGAGCCTGCATGCTGCAAATTACAGAACCCATGTGCTCTGGCCCCAACTAGAAAGAAGCCCGCACGCTGCAATAAAAAGCCTGCATGCCACAACTAAGACTAGATGTAGTAAAAAATGTATTATTATTTTTTTTAAAAGCACGGAATTTAAATAAAGAGTGGACTTATCTCCAAAGAGGACCTGTCTCTATATAAAAAGAATGTTTAATGAACATGATATGTTTTTGATATTTTAATTTAATAATTCAGTAAAACATCTATTTTAAAACATTTAAGATTTGTATGCTTCATTTTTAAAATGATTTCTTCAATTGATTTTTTCAATGAACTACCTGTCTCAACTATATCAGGCTTCTCCTAGGTTACCACACTTGATGGAGAAGGAGACTCAAGGCCAAAGTGAGGGATTTGTCCCAGGTTACAGTGATTAGTGGAAAAGCTCAGACTAGAACCCAGTATTCTAATGAGGAATCACAGAACAGTAGAAGTTTAGAATTGAGAGGGATCTTGGAAATCACAAAGGTCAGGGGTTTCCCAGGCAGGTTTCATGAAGCCTTAAGATTCCCAGGAAACACCTCAGGGGCTGCTCAGAAGGCAGGGTTGAAAAGACCCTGATGCTGGGAAAGACTGAAGGCAGGAGGAGAAGGGGGCAGCAGAGGATGAGATGGCTGGATGGCATCATCGACTCAGTGCATGAATTTGAGCAATTTCTTCCGGGAGATGGTGAAGGACAGGGAGGCCTGGCGTGCTATGGTTCATGGGATCACAAAGAGTTGGACACGACTAAGCGACTGAAAAACAACATACTGGAGTCTGACACTTAGCTTTTTCTAAAGGGTTCTTCTAGGGGAGCAAAAGTGCCAATAAGCCACTCAACTAGCCTGATCTCTGAATTTTAAAGAAGGAGAAACTGAGGAGGAGCTCTGCCTGAAGCTTTTCCTGCCTGTATTCTTCCACCACCCCTTACTCTGGTTTTGCTTGGCCCAGTGGGGGAGCTAGAGGCTTTTGTTGGCTCTGGGCATGAACAGGAGAATTTGGCTTTCTGGGTGCAGGATTCACAGTCACGGCCAGGGCCCCCAGTCCTCATCCTCCCCCATGCCACTTCTGGTCTGGGTCAGGCAAAGTGGGGCATGGAGTTTGGAAAGGGGAAGGCAGGAGGCAAAACAGAAGTGGTACATGATACGTATCCCAGGGGGACCAAGGCACGCATCTATGTGATGAACAGAGTCCTAGGCACCTACCCGGATTTTGTCATTCTCTGTCTTGTCCTCCAAATCCTCATCAAATTCCTTCTGGGGATAGAATTCAATGCCATTCACTTCAAGCTCCTTTCGAACCTAGAGGCGGGCAGGAGAAGCATGGTAGCCAAGCATCAGGATTGAGAGAGAGCTATGTGTGCATGGGCATGCGTGTGCAAATGTGTGCATGGGCATGCGTGTGCAAATGTGTGCACACTGAAGCCAGAGGGGTAAATGGCAGTCCAGTCATCTTTGAACTCTGAGGCCCTGAGCAGCCGGAGGATCCTGAATGAATGGGCACCCCAGCCCTACAGTTACCACTGCCCACCCCAGCCTGCCATGAGGAAGAATCTGGGGATGTGGTCTGTTCCCCTCAGGGTCTGTAAGATCAGGATCCAGACAAGCAGGACCACTGAGAACAGACTCCACGTGGGCAGTGTTCATGCCATACTTGTTTCACGCCTCTTGGCAGGGAAGAGAGGCCCAGCTCGCCACCCGCAGCCTCTCCCCATTTGTCCTCTTTCAAAGCTCAGCTTAAGTCTCCTCCTCCAGGAAGCCACCCAGTACTTTTCAGCAATCTCCTTGATGAAGTTTCTTAAAGGCAGCAACCGGCTTTATACTTCTCCGTCATTTCCCCAACACAGTCCCCTGTGTGTCCAGCACAGGACAGAGCTTATGGAAAATAACGATAAAGAACCAGTAAGTGGTTGATTAATTAGTCTCGTCCTTCAAGCAACCTAACAGTGTAGAGTGGTTTCTCACGTTTGAGGTGATTTATGCATTTAGGGGTATTTGCAGGTAAGTTTGGAGGGCAAGAAGGCTGGAGCCGCACTAACTTCTCTTCTCCACCAGTCTCGCCTCTTTAACAGTTGAGTAGGAGCCGGGTGGGAAGTGGGGTAGGAGGTGGATATGGTAATAGAGGAGAGGAGAGGGCTTGGACCCAAAGGGGAGAGGCTAGCATGGGGACAGGAAAAGGAGAAAAGGCCTCTCACCCTTTGCTTGAATTCAGACTTCTCCTCCAGGGTCATGGTGTCAGCCTTAGCAATGACGGGGATGATGTTCACAACTTTGCTGAGGTGTTTCATGAACTCCAGGTCGAGAGGTCGCAAGCTGGGGCCCAGAGAAGGCGGGGTGTCAGAGCCACCAGGCCCTCCCCACTCAGCCTCTGCCACCACTCCAGGGGCACCCTTGGGACAGGAGGACTGGGCTGGGAACTGGCTGGGTAGCCACCATCTCCCGTCTGCAGAACAGAACCCAACTCTCTACCCACACGTGGTCCACCAACTCCATTTCTCTCTCCCTTGGCTCTGGGGCATATCCTGGCTTCTTTAAGCCCCACTCAAACCACTCCTTCACAACACCTTTTCTGACCTGAGATCTCCTTCTCCTGGGAACAGCCATGGACTGCTGTCCCTACCCACGCATCCTCATGTCATGGTTATACGTGTGTCTATTCTGCCTACGGGACAGCACTTTTGGACAGGCCTCCCCCTGGCCCCCAAGTAGTCTTGCAGGGATCCAGCTGGGGACTGGCCCCTCACCTCCCCGAGGGCCTCTGGACTCTGGGGCCCCGATCTGGCTGTAGTTTGAAGTCCACCAGACTCATTTAAGTCAGGCTGCCTGCTGGCCTGCTCGGACCTTGGGTCCAGGCTCTAGGGGGGGATAAACGCGAACCTTCCTGCTGAGTTCCTGACCTGCACCGTCGAAAACCTGCTGAACATCTGGCTCCTCCAAAACTGAGGGCCTGCCGCACCTGTGCCATCGTCTCAAGGATGAAATTCTTGCCTAGCCGCCAGGCTCAGTGACAGTTGGGAGAACTCCCCAGCAGGAAGGTGGCCTGCTTGTCCATTTGCATGGCTCAGCCCCACCTGATACTCACAACCAGAGTTCCCAGCGTGCCTTGCTGGTTGTCAGCCTTCATCGCTGGACACCTGGCTCCTCTTGCTAGGCTGGCCACCCTCCAAATGCCTACAGCTGGGTCCCCCCTCCCCACCTCTACCTAAACACCAGCCCCAACCCAGTAGCCCAGGCCCTCCCCATCTCATCCTTCTTGCTGCCCCTGACCCCAGGCCTCTGCAAAGCAGGTATCTATTGAACAAACGAGGAGCCCTTTGCCCACAGCAACCAACTTCTGTCTGCTGGCACAGTCATGCTATGGTGCTAACACACAGATGGGCAGCTTGGGGGCTGATGGTGGTCAGCTTCTCTCTCCTGTCAAGAATCTCTGGGGGACTCCCAGGGCCATGACTATGTGGGGCCCACCTGACCTCCCTAGCTGAGTCTAGATATTTGTCATTCACTATGGGTTGGGATCAAATGATGCAAACCAGAGGCAGGCCCAGGGACAGGGGCAGGACTGATACATACGAGTGTCCGGTCGGGGAGATAAAGTAGAGGCAGCAGTGGACGCGAGTGTCAGGGATGCGTTTCTTCCTGGCGATGTTCACCTCCTCCTTCAGGAACTTCTCATACTGCTCATTGATGTACTTCTCAATGGGCTCCCAGCTAGAGGAGGGGGGAAGAAAGCAGATGGAGGTCCCAGAAGGACACGACCTGGGAGCTCCTCTTACCAGGGTCAGGAGTCAGGCTCTCACATCCATCTCATTCCCTGCCTCCCGAGGGCTCTAGGTGACCTGTTGATTATTCTCCCTCGGCCCCCATGGATGGCTTTCCCTGTTATCAAGGGCAGAACTCCTCTGGGGTCCGAGCCCTCTGATTGACCTATGGGAACCTGCAGAACCCCACCCTACTCCTGAGAGCAGTGCACACTTTCCCCACATCCATCACTTATTAGCTGGGCCACTCTGGGGAAGTCTCTGCCTTTCTCTGAAGCTCTTTTCTCATAAGTGAAAAGAGAGTAACAACAGGTGCCTAGAGAGATTCATGTAAGAATTAGAACAGAGGTATAATACTAAACGGGGCTTCCCTGGTGGCTCAGTGGTAAAGAGGCCACCTGCGATGCAAGAGATGCAGGTTCGATCTCTGGGTCAGGAAGATCCCCTGCAGAAGGAAATGGCCACCCATTCTAGTATTCTTGCCTGGGAGATCCCATGGACAGAGGAACTTGACGGGCCACAGTCCAAGGGGTTGCAAAGAGTTGGACACGACTGAGGGACTAAACAACAACAATACCGTACAGAACAGAGAAATGGGACATAGAAAGTGCTCAATCCTGGCATTATAATAATTCATATTATAATCACAGGCGTACAACAACCCCAGCACAATAATTCATCATGGTCATGGCTGTTGCCATAATAGTAACCTTTCCCTGTCTAGGAGTATGTGGATAGCCAGAGAAGAAGGTGACCAGCCACTTTCTAAGATCAACACAGCCAATTCCAAGGTGTGTTGTTGACAGGCCCTGTCTGTCTGGGGCAGCCCCAGGCTCCCTCACAGAGGTACAGCTGTCTTCATCCCTGTCTGGGAGCAAACTTCTGCCCAGAACCTTCTGTAAAGCAAAGAATGTCACTTGCCATCTGGTTTTACAAGGATTAAGTCATTAGCCACTGTAGTCACTGACCTACAATATATCCTGGAAGGAACAAGATAAGGCTCTCCGTGCTTTGGGGAAAGAGGCCCTTCAATAGTTGTATTTCAGGAAAAAAAAATTTGGACCCAAATTCTTGCACCGTCCCCTATTTAGAAAAGCACTAAAATCATTAACAGAGATCTCTGTTCCTCTTGACTGGCAGTAGCCTTCTGCTGAGATGTATGCTTGGCTACACGCATCCCGGCAAAAATCACTCGTACACTGGCCTCCACCCACCTTTTCAGAGCAGGTCCTCCGAGCTATCTGGGAGGCCGGCTCTCAGGCTATAGTCCTCAACGTGTGTGTGAGTGTGTGCTCAGTTGCTAAGTCAGGTCCGACTCTTTGTGACCCCAAGGACTGCAGCCTGCCAGGCTCCTCTGTCCTGGGATTCTCCAGGCAAGAATACTGGAGTGGGTTGCCATTTCCTTCTCTAGGGGATCTTCCCGACCCAGGGAATGAACCCACGTCTCTTGTGTCTCCTGCATTGGCAGGCAGATTGTTTATCACTGAGCCCCCTGGGAAGCCCTCAGTAAGAGTGTGAATAAGACCCAACTCAGAACTCTTACATTCTGCTTTTTCTTCTTTTTTTTTTTTTGGCTGCACCATGAGGCAGGCACTGTGCATTCTGTTTGCAGCCAACACTTCCATCCTCAACTGGGCAGTGTACTTCCACCCTTTTGGCTGGACACTGGATCCCCAGAGGCTCTCTCCTCATGGAAATTGCCCTCCCCCTTGTCTTCCTCCCATCCTGTTTGTCCAGGTGGCCAACACCTGGCCCTCAGGCCAAGCTCCCTACCACAACCTCCAGGTCCACCTGGGTTTGCACCCCAGTTTCCCTGCTCCGTCGCTCCGGCTCCTGACCCGCTCCCATCTCCAGGCAATGCCTCGGCTGACATTGCCTCTGCTCTGTCCCCTCTGTCCTCATGCCCGGGCCCCATTTGGTCCTCTCCGCTCGCTTCCTGACAAACCCCCTCCCCTCTTTCAGCAAGTCTTGCCACTTAAGCCCTCAACATGGAGGGCACAGATGGTTCTCAGTTTGAGTGAATCTGCTCCGCATTCAGTGTCTGCCTTGCAGTCTTTAGGGTGGAGGTCTCACACACAGGCAGACATACCAGTTTTCATTGTTGATCTGGTCTCCAAAGCCCGGGGTGTCGATGACAGTCAGCTTCATCTTGACACCACCTTCCTCGATCACTGGGGAGCAAACAGAAAAGGCACCCAGGGGGTCACTCCTCCAGCTGAAGCCAGGTGCCCCACTGCCTACCCGCTGGGGAGACCTGGGCTTCTTACTTCTACAGGACCAATGACTGGAAAAATCAAGTTGAGGGTCCTCAACACTTCAACACCTTTGTTCATACTGTTCCCTACACCTGGAATGCCCTCCTTACCCCTTCTGTCTATCTAAATCTACCCAGTCTTGGGACTTCTCTGGTGGGCCAGTGGCTAAGACCTCATGCTCCCAATGCAGGGGGGCCCAGGTTCAACTCTTGGTCAGGGAACTAGGGTTGCAGATGTGAACTATGTATGCTGCGAAGAGTTTGTGCGCCCCACTAAAGATCCCTCATGCTGTAACTAACACCTGCTGCAGCCAAATTTAAAAAAAAAAAGTTTTTTTTTTAATGAAAAAAAAAATCCACTAGGCTTTATCATCCCACACAAATCCTACTTCATTCCTCTGTAATTCCCTCACCCCCTTTTCTGGACTTACAATCTAAACAGTTGGCTCCACCGTGTTCAAGGGCTTAATTCTATTCTGTCTTCAGGTTATTTTTCATTTACCTCATCCCCCAGATGCCCCATTCTTCCCCTTTTCTGGCAGAGGCCCTTGGAACAATGCCCGTCAGGGTCCCTGCCGGGTCCTCACCATGCCCAATAGCTTTGATCTCCACTGTCTTGGGAATCTTCTCCTCCCGGTTCCAGCTGGAGGCCTTGCGGCTCACTTGGGATTTGAAGAGGGTGTTGACCAGTGTTGACTTGCCCAGTCCACTCTGACCTGCAGCAAGACAGGAGGAGGATGGGAAGGCCGGGAGACCCCAGGCCCAGCTCCCAAGCTTGGCATCTCTCCCCTGAGCTTACAGAATTCTAGAGCTGTGACCCAGGTCCTTGACTGAATGCTCACTGGAGAGGCTAGAGGCCGAGCAGGGACAGCGAGTGGGTGGGAATGCTTTCCTACTTACTGATGAAGGACCTGGGGAAACGTCAGTCGTACTGCACACTCTGTCCTTCTGGAGCCCTGGGAGCGGTGGGCAAGGGGCAACCTCTGCACTTGTGTACTGGTTTTCCATTTCGTTTTTGCTTGACCTAAGTTTTTAGTCTTTAATCACACTTTAAAGATGGAATTACTTTACATACTGACACTGCACTTCTGAAGAAGATTTCACTCCAAGGAAGAGCTCCACAACTAAAAAATAGGTGAAAACCACTGGTCTGAGCAGTGTTTCTCAAACATGCACAAGAATCACAGGATAATAAAGAAGGCTGAGTGAAGAATCGACGCTTTTGAATTGTGGTTCTGGAGAAGACTCTTGAGAGTCCCTCAGACTGCAAAGAGATCAAACAAACCCAAAGGAAATCAACTATAAATATTTATTGGAAGGACTGATGCTGAAGCTGAAACTCCAATACTTTGGCCACCTGATGCAAAGAGCCGACTGATTGGAAAAGACCCCGATGTTGGGAAAGAAGGCAAAAAAGAAAGGGGTGGTAGAGGATGAGATGGTTAGATAGTATCACTGACTCAATAGACATGAATTTGAGCAAACTCTGGGAGATAGTGAAGGACAGGGGAACCTGGTATGCTGCAGTCCATGGAGTTGCAAAGAGTAAGACATGGCTTAGCGATTGAACAAAAACAAAGGTGCTACATGGGAAGTGGTAAGGATGAGTGGAGAAGTGGTACCAGGCCAAGCTAGGAATTCAAACCCTTAAACTTATGAAGATTGTTAAGTAGGATGGGTGATGATGAGCTTTGCCGGCTGGAAAAATTATTCAGTCACTGGTAGACAATGGACTGAAGAAGACAAAGAACCAGAAGAAAGAGAAGTTATGTCATCACACACGCTGTCTAGTTTAGCCAGTGTGTTTTAGAGCAAGACATGCCAGATGATTTACACTCTGGCCCAGATGTATGAGCAGCTCTGAGTCAGGGGGCGGTGGTAACCCAGGGTAGTAGCAGCTGGTAGCCTAGGGTGCTGGCAGTGGAGATGGAGAGGGTAGACAGACCAGAGAGATATTTGTGAGGTAAAATTGACAGTATTTGATGACTGACTGGATTGGGGATAAAGAAGGAGGAAGAACGATGATTCCCAGATCCCAGTTTCAGTAACTGAGAGAATATGTCACTACGATCAAAGGCAAAGGTCCCTCCCTGCTCTTATACTCTGTGGCCCAGTGACCCTACTTAGTGACCAATGTCCTGAAAATTCTTTTCAATCTTGAAAGCACTACCAAAGATCAGAAAGAAGACCACCCTTCCTCTGATCCTCTCCCAAACTTGAAGGTGGAGAAGAACAAGGGTGATGCTCCCAGGCCTTGAGCACAGCTATAGGGCAGCCTGTGTACAGACAGGGGGTGACGGGGCCAGGCTGACCGTCGTCTACCCACATCTCCCACCCTCAGAGCAGCCAGCCTTGTGGGGAGAGAGGAGTCAGGCCTTTGTGATCAGCATGCTCAGATCTTTCCTCTGAGGAAGAGCTCATTCTACAGAAGCCAGAGCTGAGGCCATCCTAAAGAAAGAAGTGGGATTCTAAAGGGTACTGCCTGCCACCAGGGTCTGCAGGGAGCCCATGGCCTCCGTACCGACCACCATGATGTTGAAGTCAAAACCAGTCTTCATGGTCTTCTTGCGCATCTGTTCAATGATGGTGTCGATGCCGATGTAGCCCAGCAGGTTGGGGTTGATGCCAACGGGCTTCATGGGCACTGCCGGCTTAGGCCTGGGCTCAGGCACCAGCTCTGACATGGCTGCGTCCGTCCTGGTCTCCGGGAGCCCTGCAAAGCCAAGGTGGGAGAGGCAGGCTGAGGTCATGTGGACACCACAGTTTTATTCTCTGGATACACAATTACACAGAGTTAGGCCTGGATGGGACCATGGATGTCCTCCAGTACAGGTATCCCATCTCACAGATGTGGAGACTGAGGCCTGGGGGTGGGAGGTGGTAGTAAGGGCTCGCCCGAGAACACAGAACAAGTCAGATGCAAAATCTGGACCAGTACCCAGACCCTCCAGTTGCTGGGGTACTTTCAAATGCACCTCACTGCTCCAAAGAACCAGATCTGTGTCTCTAACCCAGGGGTTTCTTTGCCTTGGCACTACTGACATGCTAGGTCAGATAATTAGAGTAGGCAGCTGTCCTGGGCATTGCAGTCCATTTAATGACATCCTTGGCCTCTACTAGCTGCCAGTGATGCTTAGTCACTCAGCTGTGTCTGACTCTTGGCGACCCTTTAGATTATAGCCCACCAGGCTCTTCTGTCCATAGGATTTTTCAGGCAAGAATAGGTGGGTTTTCATTTCCTTCTCCACTAATAGATGCCAGTAGTAGCTTCCAATTTAATGATCAAAATTATTTTCAGACAGTGCCAAATGTTGGCTGGCACTGCCAATAGTTGAGAACCACTGACCTAAGAGATGTCTGGGGTTATTCCAACCTGAGTCCTGCCTCACCCAAATAAAGGGCAAAGCAAAGACCTTTTAGGATTCTGGACCTAACATCTATTGACTGCATGTCCCTGACCCAGTTGCTCTGTCTTTTAGAAACCCATGGGTCTGGGACGTCCCTGGTGGTCCAGTGGTTAAGAATCTGCCTTGTGAGGCAGGGCATGTGCATTTGATCCCTGGTAGGGGAACTAAGATCTCACATGCTGAGGAAGAATTAAGCCTGTGCACTGCAAAGAGAGCCCGTGAGCTACAATGAAAGATCCAGCATGCCACAACTAAGACCTGATGCAACAAAGTAATTTTCTTTTAAAAAAGCAGTACATGGGGCTACCTCAACTCAGCAGAGTGAGCATCACTTGTGTCTCCCAGTCTCAATATCACCTCTATTCCATTGGCATTGCTGCAAAGTAGGGGTCTCTGTGCCCTGAGGAGTCCCAGAGAGCCTCCACATCCTATTTTTAGTTTTTAAGTTGTTCATTGCTTTCAGATTTTTTGTTTGACTGCACCGCATAGCATTCAGCACCTTAGTTCCCCGACCAGGGATCAAACCCATGCCACCTGCAGTGGAAGCATGGAGTCTTAACCACTGGACCACCAGGGAAGTCCTCTACAAGCCGTAGTTTTAAGTCTGAGGAGGAATAAGCCTCCCCTGCTGACCAATGAGGAGAGGATGAGGCCCAAGTAGGGGCATTCATGGGCCTAAGATGACATGACACTCTGTGTTCTTGGCGTGGTGGGTAACAGGAGAAAGGAAAGCCTGAGACCACAGCCCTTCCCCGGGGGAGAAAGGCAAACATCCTTCCAGGTCTGGCACATCATGGGTATGCTCATATACATGAGAAATCTGTGTGTTCCCTCATCAGGGCACTGTCCTCCAGGTGGGTTTCGGAACATGGCATCTCCACTTCCCTCCCCATAAGACGCAGGTGCGTGGTGACGTGGGAAGAGCCTGGCTCTGTGATTGCCTTCTCCGTGGCCTCGGGTGAACCGCCTACCCCCATGCACCTGCTTCCTCTTCTGTAAACTTCTTAGGATAGTGATTAAGGCTGTGGGGAGCCCCGCATGTGAAATGCACCCCCGCTCTGCCTCACTGCTGCAAACCCTCTTGGTCCTGCCCCTTTCTGGTTCCCAGTCAGGAGGGGGAATGAAGTGGTGCATGTGAAAGCACTTGTTAAAGGGAGGTGCCCTAGATGCTAATTACCCAGCACAGTCACTGGACTCCACGCTCTCTGGAGGCCCCCTTCCAGCCTGGCCATTCTAGAATCCTATGGCTCCTGGTTACCCCCTGCAGGGTCTCTGGCTCCCAGGGAGAAGTGATGGAGCCACAGATGGGAAAGAGAGAGAGGGGACAGGAGCACCTCCCTCCCCCACCCGCAAAGCCAGCCAGGAGTCTGTTCTTGCACCCCCACCACCTGGTCCCTTCCCTGGTCCTGGCATGACTTTCTCTCTCCACTGGAAACCGTTCTTTCCTTGTCATCCGCGGGCACAGCCAAATCTGACGGAGTCTCAGGACCTCCCCAGGGCCTGGCGTGGTTCCCTCCTGCTTCCCAGGAAGTTGTTGCCAGCCAGGCGGCTCCAGAAGGCACCCAGATTGGCTCAGGCCTGAAGCAGCTGACTATCAGCAGCCTGGCCTGCGCCTCCACTCTGCACGTGGTTCCCGGGCCCGACTCAGCACACCTGCACTGGGGCCAGTGCCCCGATTTCCCTGTCCAGCTGCTCACCAGGCCGGTCCTCTTCATCCCCCGGACGCCTCTACGGCCAGCCCACTGGGTCGCCACAACCACTGTTGTGAGATGGAGCCATCTGTGTGCATGTGTGTGTTTTGGTGGAGGGGGCAGGGTCTTACTCTACAGATCTGGAAATGAGTCTGGTATTTATTTACGGGAGTGTTTATAAGGGTTTTTATAAAATCTGTATCCTCACCCCAGCCTGCTCAGCCCCGGCCTGTCAACCGCAGCATCCTCAAAGACCACTCCCCAAACACAACCTGGTTTGGAGAAGAGGCCAGCTGACCAGATTCCCGGGCAACTTCAACGGGTTCCAGCAGGCCAGGGGCAGAGTCCACTTTTATTCCTCCATCGAGCCCCTGTTACCACCCACAGAGCTCCTGCTGGCAAGATGTCCCTCCCAACCACACGGTGATTACACGCCAGTCATGTGCTAACGACAACCACCCATCAGCCACAAGCACTGCAAACCTGCAGCGGGTCACAGCCTTTGCTGGAAGACCCTTTGCCCACTCTAGCCCCTGGAGACCTCCCACTCTTCCTTCACTATACAGGAAAGCCTCCGCTTTCCCATCTCACATGGATGCCTCCCTTCTGTGCTGCCTCAGCCCCCTGAGTACCTCTGTAATCATTACATTCATTCATTCATTCACTCACTCACTCCATCCCATCTGGGCCATTCTATAGGCCCTCCAATGAGAGCCGACTCCAGCCAAACCCTAGACTAAATGCCAAGGACACTGCTAGACCCCAGACAAGGTCCTTGCCTCATACTGTCTGGTGAGGAGACCTCCAGAGCACAGGGTGTAGACAGCTCCAAAGTTGAATTCTGTAGCTCCCTCCTCTGCCCCTGCAGTCCCTCCAGGTCCGGCCATGCCAGCTCCAGATGGGCAGCTGGCCCATCCTTGACTCCCAGCTGGCTAGCCTCTGGGAGCCTCAGTGTTCTTCTCAGGAAGACAGGGACAGTCCCGATCTCACCTGGTTGCTTTGATGCTTACACAAAATTGTGGGCACAAACTTGGCACTGAACACATGCCAGTTGCCACCCTTCTTCAGGGCAGGAGCCATGTCTTATGGATTTCTGTGCCCCGATATACCTAGTATAACAAGGCATTCAGCAATGAATGAATGAATGCAAGCCTCACTCAGCAATATGAATGAATGAATGAAGGTAAGCCTCATTCAAGCCTCACTGCAAGGCTGATGTTACTCAGAGCCATCACCTTTCTCCTTCTTTGGACGCTGCTCCCTTGGTGAAGCGGCTGACAGCAAATGGCTCTTGGGTGGGCCCCAGGCACAGAGACAGACTCTGTTATGAGACCTTCTCCCCCCTCCACAACAGGGATTGGAGGAGGGGCTCCCCAGGGGTGAGGAAGAGCTCCGGATGGGCTCACAGCCGGATGTAACTCAAAAATGCCATCCTGCCTACGTGGTTCCTGGGGCTCCTTCTGAGCTCCCAGCTTTCTCCCAGCCCTGCCTGCAGCACCTCCTGCTGAGAGCCACCTGCCCCAACCGTGCTCTGGGAAGAGACCCTGTCCAGCCCCTGCTCAGCGCTGGCTTAGTCCCCACAGAAATGGCAACATTCTCCCCCCACCCCAACCTACCTCCCTGACAAGCAAGGGCCCTGGTGCTTTCTCTTACAGGGAAATGAATGGGCTTTGTCTTTGTCCGGCCGAGGGACCCCACCCCTCTGCTGGGAAGGTGGCCGCAGAGAGGACCTTTCCAGAATAGCACCTGCCTTCCTGGCTTCTCGGGGATCCAGGGGGTGGGGAGGCTCTTCCTTCCGGAGCCGGAGATCATTCCCAACCCCCAGACCCCAGCAGTCTTTAAGACTCCACCCCCACCCGCAGAGGCAATTTCAGTCCACCCCTAGCTCCAGCCCCTGGCTCTCAGCAGGAGAAATCACAAAAGCTATCTTAGTACTTTCCCATTCACAGAACCAAAGGACCCTGAGATATATACCCCTTCCTCCATCCCAGTCCTCCGGAGGCCAACGAGTTCCCTTGGAGACCACCAGCTGGTGCCTGTCTCAGCGTGCGCCCGCCGCCCCTGTGCGTGGGGGAAGGGGTCTATGTGTCAGCGCACAGGTCTCTGAGCCCAGCCGTAGGTGGTCCCGATACCTGTGCGTGGTGTGCATGTGTGTGCACGTCTTAGTGTGCTCCAGCGCGCATCGCGGTGCCCGCCTGCGTGTTCGGGGGTCTCCGTGTCTCTCCGCCTTCCCGTCTGTGCATTTCTCCGGGCTTGGACATCGTGGGGAGTGTGCCCCCGTGTGTGTGTCCGTGCACATATGTCACCGTGCGTGGGCTCCTTCGTGCATCAACCCTCCCCCTGGTAGCATCTCCAGCTGGGCTGGTAGGGGCCGCAGCCTCCGCCTCCCGGCGCGCGCTGATGGCCCGGCTGGCCTCCTTACCTTTGGACATGAATCCTCCTTTGTCTCCGTTTCCTCCGGGAAGATGCTCAAGGGCGCGGGGCTGCAAGGCTGAGCGGGACGCGGGCTCCTCCTGGGCCGAGTAGCCCCTGCAGCCGGGCCTCGCCCTTCGGCGCTCTCCGCCCACCCGCCCGGCCCGCGGCCCGGCCGCGCCGCCCCTGCGCCCGGCGCCGCCGCGCCCGCCCGAGACTTCGACTCCGTGGCTCGGCGCCGCGCTGCCCCTGCCCGCGCGCACCGATGCCGCCGCCGCCGCTGCCACCCGCACCACGTGACCCGCGCGCCGCCCGCCCCGCCGAGGGCCCCTCCCCCTCCCACGGCGTCGGCGCCCGCACCGGCTCTCCGCCCGCCCGCCCGCACGCGGGAGCGCGGGCACCCAGCGCCGGCTGAGCGGGGGCGCTGGGCCTCGCAGTCTCGAGATGCCGGGCGGGGGGGCATCGCCCCCATCCCATCCCTCCGCCCGGATCCGCTCCCGGCCTCTAACTCTCTGAGGCTGGGGTGGGGTGGGGGCGCGGGAGACCAGTGACAGCTGCGGGATGCGGTGCGCGAGCGAGCGTGAGTCACGCTTTGGTTGGGATGTTGGGCTGGTTCCGTGGGGTTCTGCCCAGGCGTGGGTGCCAGTAGAACCCTGCCTGATTCAGGAGCCCGGGCCTGGCTCTGGGATGACGAGCCCTATGACCTTGAACTGGTCAGAAACTTTCTTTCCTGGGCCTCAATTTACTGGTCGGGAAAAAAATATCTTGCTTGCATTTAATCCACATGAATGGATAGCATATTGCCAGGCCAGGTGGGCACAGGAATGAGGACCATCGTTTATGTCCTCAAAGAGCTTTGGGTCTGGTGGGGTAAGACAGAAAGCTGGACTGTCCTCATACAGAGAGTGGGGTATGCACAGGGAAACTGTGGGTGCAGGGAGGTGGGCACCCTGGGGAGAGGGGTTTTGTAGGATTTCTTGGAGGGGGTGAGGGCCGAGATGGAAAGACAAATGTAGGTGGGAGGGAAGAAGGGAAATCATTCCATGGAGAGAAGAGGGCTGAGGTGAGGAGACCAGAGGTGAGAGCTGCCTGGTGCTGGGGACAACAGGGTTCCTGGGTGCAAAGAAGCAGGGAAAATTCCAGACAGGGATACAGAGTTAAGAGAAGTCCACAGCCTTGGGAGTCAAGCTAAGGAGCTGGACTTTAAGAGAAGATAATGGTGAGCCACCAACAGCTGTTAAGCAGAAAGTGCTCCCATGAGATGAGTCCCTCATCTCATGCCAGTTGAAGGGGGCGAGTGGCCTCGCAGGGGCAGAGGGATGGAGAGAAAGGGACGCAGAGCCTAGGACTGAGGAGGTTGGGCCACAGAGTTGGAATCAGACTGGCTGGGATGAAGGAGAGAGAAAGAGGAGGATGCCCGGGTCTCTAGTGGGGTGGGGCAAGGCCGAAGTCAGGAAGTAAAGGGCTGCCTTTGAACCTGCCTGGAAGCCGTCTGGGTGGAGGGGTCTGGCAGGCCGCTGGCTGTCCACACCTACATTTCAGAAGAGAGGGCTGGGCTGAAGATGGAGAGAGAGCTGGAAGGAGGAGGGAAGACGAGAGCCTGAGTGGGCTCCCCAGATGGAGTGTGCAGAGTGCAACGGGAAGGGGTCTGACAACCCCCAACCCCAGGTAAGCCACAGGACCAGATGCTTTCTGAGCATCCGCCAGACCCAGAATCTCTGAGCTTTTGCAAGGTTGGGAATGAGACTGCCAGAAGAATTCCAATCCCTAGGTCGCCGTTACCTTGCATGGTGCATGCTAATTTGCTGTAGTCGTGTCCGGTTCTTTGAGACTCTATGGACTATTGCCCACCAGGCTCCTCTGCCCATGGGATTCTCCAGGCTCCTCTGCCCATGGAGTGGGTTGCCATGCCCTCTTCCAGGGGGCCTTCCCATCCCAGGGATCAAACCCGATTCTCTTATTATACATCTCCTGTACTGAAGGCGGGTTCTTTACCACTACTGCCACTTTAGACATGCCAGCTATGTGATGTAGGCAAGTCACAGCCTCTCGAAGACCGAATGAACTTCTGGCCCTGTGTTGACCTGTTTATAGTTCCGTGTAGGACTTCCAACATGAAATCTCCAACTCAGCCTGTAGGACTACAGCGCTGGGGCTCGGGGACCAAGAAAGAATTCCAGGTAAGACACTTTTTAAGCAACAGCTAACAGGGCTTCCCCCTAGTGGCTAAGACTCCAAGCTCCCAATGCAAGGGTTCTGGGTTTGGTCCCTGGTCAAGGAACTAGATTCCACGTGCTGCAACTAAGAGTTAAAATCTTCCCTCCCAGGACTTCCCTGGTGGTCCAGTGGTTCAGAACCCACCTTCCCATGCAGGGGACAGGGGTTGGATCCCTGGTCAGGGAACTAAGATCCCACATGTTGCATGTGCCACAACTAAGACCCGGTGCAGCCAGATAAATAAACTAAATACATAGATATTAAAAGAAATGTCATTCTCACCTTAAAAAAAATCTGCCCTCCCTTTCCAGATCTAGCCAAGCATAATCTATCTCCGGGTCCTTACACCCCTGCCCCACCCCCACCCACCGCAGTCTGGTGCCTCCCCAGCCCAGCTCTTTGCATTTACCTTTGGTTTCTCTGGCCCGGTCCAGCTCTGTGGCCCAGTCCGTGGCAGCATCTGCTGTAGGGTGGCCCAGGGCTGCGTCTGTGCTTTGGCTCAGCATTGATGGGTGGGTGGCAACGTCTGGTGTCATCAGGTTAATGACACTGTCCAGTGTGGTCTCGCCAGCAGCCGGGTCTGGGGTGACTGGCACAGCTGGACCCATGGCTATGACCAACCTGCTTGTATCCAGAGCTGGAGAATTCGTAGTCCCGCCCAGCTTGGCTGTGTTCACCAGCATGACTGTGTCCGGCCTGGCTGTGCCCAGCTTGACTGGATCTGGGGCTGCCCGTTCCATGGCTGCACCCCCTGTGGTTGTTTCTGGCTTGGCTGTGCCTGCTGTAGCTATGGCTTTGCCCACCTTGTCTGGGTCTGGGGTTACCGAGTCCATGCCCTCTCCGGGCTTGGTTGTGCCTGCTGTAGCTACGTCCATGGCAGAGCCCAGATTGATATCCAGATCAGGGGACTCAATGCCTGTGTCCAGTCTGGATGGATTTGGTGTAGCCAAGTTGACAGTCAAGCCAGGTCTATTGGTGGTCCTTGTGGATAAACGGCTGGCTGTGCCTGGCCTCTTATCCAGAGCAGCCAAGTCCATGGCCATTGTGGGCCCCGAGGTAGGGGAGGCCCTTTGGAGATGCAGCCGGGGTCTTGGAATACCCCTGCACCGGGGCTTGCCTCTTCCTGGTGAAGCTCTGGCAGGCACGTGTGCAGTCACTGGGACAGGGTGCTTCGGACCCACTGAGCCCGGCCCCGCAGGACCTGGTGGACTCGGAGCTAAGCGGGACTGGAACGGTAGGGTCAGGTACGAACTCACCAGGGGCTTCTCCGCTGTGGGCATCCTGCTGGGTTTGGCCATACCTGGGTTCCCTGGGCCCTCAGAGTGGACCCTGTCCCCTGGCACTAGGGTCACCGATGATGAACCAACTGTGGGCAGCCTCCGTCCTCCATGCGTGGCCGCCTCCTTGCCCGGGCTGGACAGCTCTTCCCAGTGAGAAGGCAGGGGGCCCAGGGGCCGTGCCTGTCTGTGCGGATGGACTGTTAAGGAGATGGAGCTGAACTTCCTGGATGCCAGGCTCTTGCCGGTCTCCTGGGAGGACATGCTCCAGGCCCTCGCCCCGAGGCCCGACCGGCTGGAAGCCTGCGGGATGTGGCTCGGGGGAAAAGCATCCAGGTGGAAGGTCTTCCTGAGAACAGGGGTGAGAGGCGACACCCCACTGGGGAGCTTCGAGGGGCGGGCTGGGCGGCCCAGCAGGTGGCTACGGGAGAAGGAGTTTCCGGGGCCGGGGGCCACATGCGGCTGCATCTCAAAGTCGTGGTCCATCCAGGTCTTCCACCTTCCCCTGATCGACAGAGCAAAGGGGCCAAGCAGGGGTGAGGTGCCCAAGCCTGGAGGTGCCAGCCCTTCCCCACCTGTCCAGCTGCTAGCCCTTCTCTGAAGGGGCCTTATTTGGAGGGGGCGGTCAGGTCCTCAGTGGGGTACAGGCATCCCTTCCTACAGCTCCCACCGCTGCATGCCTGCACACGCCACACACACACACCCCTACCTGGACGCCGGGTGAAGGTGGCACCCAATGAGCAGGCTGCCTGGCGTGATGGATGAAACCTCTCTCTTTACCTGGGCCCCTCTCTCTGTGGACAGCTCCGTGGAGGTCACATATACATGTCCAGGTACCCCAGGGGAGGACAGTGGTTATTGGAGGCCTGTCTGCGTCTTCCAGAAGGAGCCAGAGGACTCTGGGTTCCCACTCACAGCCCCCAAAATAGGAGTGCCAGCGTCCAGGTAGGAGGCCGAGATGACCCCTTTGGCTTGGGAACAGGGTCAGATCTGGGGCTTCTCCCAGAACCAGGGAAGAGCCCGGGGCTGCCTGCTGCTGGAGCCGAAATGAGAGCCGTAATTGGAGCTGAAGCAGGCCCTGGAAGAGAGGAGGCTTGGGAAGTGCAGAAGTAACGAGCGTTCATGGGAGACTCGTCTGGTGAACACAGCTCTGTCCCCTCCCCAGGGAACCTGTGGTCCCCAGAGTTGCAGGGCAGCGAAGCAGGCCGAGCTACATCAGAGGTGAGCCCTGTGGTGGAAGCGTTAGCTCAGCCTTTGGGGTTCAAGGAGGCTGGCTGACCTGGGGCTGGGGGAATTCACACGGAGGACCCAAGGGCAAGGAAACGGGGCATCTTTCTAAAAACCCTCCATGGGGCTTCCAGGCTGTGTCTGAGGGAGAGGGGAGGCCAGACTGCAGGTGTGCTGGGACCTGGGCCAGGCCACCACGATGCTCGGGCCCTGGAAGGGGACCTGGTGGGATCTTGCAGGTGGTCACTCTGCGGCTGTGTGGCAGAGAGACCGGGGGAACAGAAGAGGAGGCAGAGAGGGAGTCCCCTGGTGTCTGGTGGTTAGGGTGTGCTGCTTTCACGGCCGTGGCCCCAGTTCAACCCGATCAGGGGGACTGAGATCCCGCAAGCTGCACGGCAAGGAAAGGTGCCTCTCTGTGGGCTGGGGTGGAGCTGGAGAAGGCTGAGCGGCACAGAGGAAGAAGCAGAGGGACCACCTGGCCACGGGGAGTAGGGGCAGGGGTGGGGGGCGTCCAAGAATCTGGCTGGTGGTCTGCATGGGTGAGCTACCCCCTAAGGGGAGCTCCTGAGTGCCCAGACGGCCAGCTGGTGCACACGCTGGGCTCAATGGAACCCTCCTTCTAGAACAAAGTTGTTTCTGTTGCTTTCAACACAGCAGGCAGGGATGTGATGCTGGGGGGTGGGGGTGCAGGGCTGATAGCAGGGTTCACGAGGGAGTGTGACTCTGTGGCTAAGACCCTAAGGTCTGGAGTAGGGACAGGGCAGGACACCAAGGGGTCTTCATCATCCCTCACGGCGGCGCCCCAGCCCCGCGTCCCCTCCAGTCGCATATTTGTCCCCAAGGCTGTCCCGGCCTTTATCACCTCCCCACTTGGCGTGTCCCCGCAGCCCTGCTTGCAGGCCCTTACTCACAATGACACGCACCTGGGCACAGGCGTGCTTACCCTGCACTTAACCACAAACATCTACCCTCGGTGTACACACACATGAACACACACACGCAGCTGGCCAGAGGACAGAATTTCTGAATCTGTTCTAACATCCCTAGATCCCTTCCCCTCACTGAGCCTCCCCCCACCCCCCATCAATCACTTGGTCCTGTCCTCCCCCCAGCCACACTCACCCGCCTTGATCAGAGAACAAGGAAGGTCTGATGGTTCTCGGTCTGGGAAGCGGACCCCAGGGCAGGGCCCTCACATCCTCTGCACCCAGATTCTGGCCAGCTTAGGTGGCGACTGGTTCAGGGGCCTCATCCCTCTGGTCCCCTCACGGGCTTTCGCTCAGCATCCAGGCTTGTGGTCTTGGGCCCAGGGCCCAGCGCTCTCCTGACCTGTCCCGCCACCGACGTCCCCGGCTGGGCTGGGCTCTGGGGTAGGGAGGGGCTGGCTTCTCGGCAGTGGGCGTCAGTGAATGGCTGCTCTGAGCCTCTGGAATCCCAAAGGGCCATGGGAGGCTCCTAACAGCCAGGCTGGGCCGCCCTGGACTCAAGGGCACCTGGGGGGTGGTGCCCTTCTGTCTGCCCTCCCCAAATCTCCTCTGTCTCCCCTAGACCCTGACCCTTGGAGAGATGTCTGCAGTAGGAACAGGGAGACTCCAAACACGGCCACACTCTGGTAGCCCCAGAGCTGACCTCTCTTCTGCCTGCATCGCCACGCACCCTGATTAGTTCTCTGACCCTCAGACCGTCTTGCCCACCCGTCTGAGGTCTTTTGTGGAGCATGCTGGAGACTAAAGCAGGGGCCGTCTGCTTCAATAACTGTCTCCCTGAGCCTGTGCTCACTCCAGCTGGACCCTGTACTGAGCCCCTGAGCCTGCGAAGATGACCCTCCCCTGGGGTTGAGGAAACCCACAAGGCCTTCCAGCCTGGCGCTGGCATTGCGGGCTGTCCGCAGACCCTGTCCCTTGGGCTGGGCTGGGTGTCTTCTTCTGTCTGTTTCATAGGAATCAGTTCAGTTCAGCCTCTCAGTCATATCTGACTCCTTGCGACCCCAGGGACTGCAGCATGCCAGGCCTCCCTGTCCATCACCAACTCCCAGAGCTTACTCAAACTCATGTCCATCGAGTCGGTGATGCCATCCAACCATCACCCCCTCTGTCGTCCCCTTCTCCTCCCGCCCTCAGTCTTTCCCAGCATTAGGGTCTTTTCCAATGAGTCATAGGAATAGTCATAATAATTATGGTGCTAATGATAGCTACTATTTACTGAACACTTACTATGTGCTAGCACTACATCAGGGCTGGGAAGAAGCATGCAGCCTGCTCAGAGAGATGATGTAAACAATCCTTACAGTCGCTGTAGGGCAGTGACGGCCGACATTGTCTGAGCACTGACCCCGAGCCAGGAACTAGACTCAGCATTCTTCCGGCATCTCCTTCACTCTTTGCCTCATCCTCTGCTTTCTCCTGATGAGGACATTGTGGCCCACACCATCCTGTGTGGTCTGATCCATCTTCCTGTGTGTCGCTCCCCTTAGCCAGCGAGCTTCTGGAGCCACGCTGGCCAATAGAACTTTCTGCAATAATGTGAATGTTCTATATCTGTGCTGTCCAATGTGATAGCCGCTGACCACACGCAGCTGGTGAGCACTTACCATGTGGCTATAGTGACCATGGAACTGAATGTTTATTTCATTTTAATTTATGGTTATCATATTGGACAGCACAGTTCTGAAGGACCTGGATTTTATTCTTCTCTGGGTCTTCCCCCAGGGCCTGGCAAGGATTAGCCTCTTAAGTTTCTGTAGAATACATGAATGAAAGAAAAAAAATGATTCAATGAATGGCGGATATGTGGGCCTAGGAACCGTCCCACTTCTTATCCATTCTCTCCCCCTCCAGCTTTAAAGTTTTCAAACTTGGCTGTGCTCTGGTTGCCAGGGCAACCTGCTGGAAGGTTGGGTAGAGGAGGGGATCTGCCTGGAGTTCTCCCCCCTTCTCCCCTGCCTTTGAGGCCTGAGGACCAGCCTGGTTCCCGGAAGAACAGAGGAGGCTGGGGGAGGGGCTGGCACAGCTCTTTCTGGATAGGTTGTGTGTGGGGGGAGATTTTACTGCCCACCCCACTGGATCGCATTATCTCTGAGATGCAGAAACCCTGAGCTGGAGTCGGGGGTCTTAGCTTCTCTCCTCTCTTCAGCCAGTGACTCAGTAGCAGCTTCTATCAGACCTCTTGCCCATCTGGGCCTCAAGTTGCCTTTTTAAATAGGGACCGGATGCCTTCATGTGGCCTCTTGAAGGCCTAGAACTCCTCTATCTTGCTCCGTGCCAGAATGTTAGGGCCTTGAAAGCAAGGTATGAGTCTTGTTCATCTCGGTCTTCCTACTGCCCATCTTCCCCAGCTCGCTCTTCCATTCTGGGGGTCCTAGAGAAAACTGCCTGCTCTATAATTGCAAGCTTGGGTTCAGCTGCCCTCTGGTGGCCCAAAGTAGCAATGACCACCCCCCTTGTGCCTGTACCCGTTTCTTTGCCACTAAAGGAAAGATTGACAGGTCTGAAAGTGGCCTCAAAGGACAAACCTCCACCCAAGCAAAAAATCCTCGTGGTAGCCTCCCAGACAAGTGACACGAGCTCTAGAGTCTCCAACCTGGGTGTGTTACAGCTGTCCGAGATTTTGAACAAGTCATCTCTGAGCTCCTGTTTCTTCATCTCTGAATTGGAAACTGTATCAGTCAAGACAGGTTAAATTATGTCACAGTCACAAACAATTCCAAAATCTCAATGACTTGTAATATTGAATGCTTGTTTCTGACTCATGCCTGTGTCCACTGTGGTTTGGGTCCACTGTGGTTTGGGTCTGCTCCGTGTCATCTCAGGGACCCAAGGCTGATGAAGCAGCCACCTTCTGGAGCTGGGCTGGTCATTGAAGCAAAAGGAAGGAAACAGTGGTGAAGCGTGCAGGAGCTATGACATGCATTGGCCTGGACTTTTCGGATCACAACTCACCAGCAAGAACTAGTCGAATGATCCCAGCCATTACCAGGAAGCAAGGAGATTAACCCTACCGTGTGCAAGAACTGAGCAGCCAGAAGTATTTGGTGAGCAGCACTGCTGGCCCACATGCACGGCTATGAGGATGCAGTGAGAAGTGCCAGCGCATTAACCATCACACAATGAATTGAGTCCTTCGCCATTGAAATTACTGTCTTGGGGACTTCCCTGGTGGTCTTGTGGTTAAGACCTCCCCTTCCCATGCAGGGAGTGTGGGTTTAGTGCCCAACTGAGGAGCTAAGATCCCATGTGCCTTGTGGCCAAAAAACCAAAACA